GACAGTGAGGGTGTGGCTTTTTGCTGCCCTCCAGACCCACCCAGGGTCCCTCTCAGTACTTAGAATCTTTTTCTGTTTTGTTTTGAGACAAAGTCTTGCTCTGTAGCCCAAGTTGACCTCAAACTCGGGGCAATCCTCCTGCCTCAGCTTCCTGGGAGCTCGGATGACTCTTCCCCCCTTCTGGTCCTCCTTCCTGTCCCCCTTTGGCCTACAGTCTGCTTTCCCGCTGGCCCTGCCATCCTGGTGACAAACCAGGGTGACTGCCCTAAGTGCCATTCTTTCTGGCCTAGGCCTGGCCTCTCCTGTGTTGCTGGGCCTCATTTACAGATGGGCCCACTGAGGCTCAGCTCAGGCTGACCCCTGGAAAACCTTTGGTCTGACCCAAGCCTGCCCGGGGCCCCACAGCTACTCACAGCTGGAAACCGAGAGGAGTGGGAGGGAGGGGCCATCTCAGCTGCACTGTGCGTCCGGGCGCAGGTCACTCACCCCCCTGAGCCCTGACTCCCGGGGACGTGGCCTGAGGGGTACCTGGTCATCTAAACCGAGGGACTTGGGGACCCTGGGACTGAAGCCAGGCCACCCGCCAGGCTCAGACTACCCGTCAGGACCCAATCCGGGTGGCCTCTGATCAGGCCATAAGTGGGAGCAAACCTGACCCCTCCCGGCTGCCTCCCAGCTTTGTTTATTGTCTGCAGGCTGGGAATAGTTTGAATTGTTGTGTTTGGGAAGGAGAGAAAAATAACCAAATATAAGAAGGAGAAGCTCAGGCAAGAATGCAGGGGAAGCTGGCCACCTGGGGACCAATAGGCAGCTTTGATTACTTGGGCACCCGGCACCCCAGCCAGGCGTCAGGGTGACATCCACTACCAGGATAGCCTTATTTTTTATTTATTTCTTGTTTAGGTTTTGAGACATGGTCTTACCACGAAGTCCAGGGTGGCCTTGAACTCAAGGTGATCCTCCTGCCTTCGTCTCCTTGGAGACTGGGATAACAGGCATGTGCCACCAGGCCTCATGTGGAGAGCCTAGTTTAAGGGGGGGGGGGCTTTGTGCCCAATTAAATTAGAATCTGTGAGGGGAGACAGGGGCATCAGGATTCCGTTTCCTGGTGCTGAGGACAGAACCCAGGGCCTCAGGCATGCCAGGCAAATGCTCCCTACTGGGCCGCATCCCAGCTGTGCCCTGGGGTTTTAGATTTTCCCCAGAGCAAGGGGTCCCCGGAGTGGGTCCCTGTGGCAGACAGGGGCTGGATGAGGACCCAGAGCCCGGGCCCCCAGACTTGCAGGGTGGAGTCTGCACACTGACATGGCCCTGGGCAAGATCTTCAGTTAGAGGCTGAGCTGGGTCACCTTGACTAACCTGCTTTTGGGACAGACAGGAAACTGAGGCAGGGTGAGGAGGCGGCTGTCAGGGCAGGAGCCACTGTGAGTCTGCTTGGGCCTCCTGGGGAAGAGAGAAATCATGCATGTGGGAACAGGTGCCCTGTGAGGAGCAGGCTGAAGGGTTGCTGGCTGGGCACTGCCAGCCTCTGGATTGCAGCGGACCTCAGGGGGCCCCAGCACATTCTGCTCTGAGTCAGGTGGGAACAGATGCAGAGGTGGCGCATGTGCCCTTGAGCTGGACCGCCGGGCTGGGCACCAGGACTACCAGACCCCAGATCCATGGCTCCCAACACCTCAGCACTACCCTGAGTTGTTGAGGGGATAAAGAGAAGTCCATGTGAATTCAGTACACAATTCTTTTTCTTCACCTAACATTTTCTTTTCTCTGTAGTACTGCAGGTTGAACTCAAGGCCTCTTTGCCCTGAGCTACATCCCTTGCCCTTTTTTCCTTATTTTGGGGTTGGGTCTCACTAAATCACTAAATTGTCCAGCTGGACTCCAATTTGTTTTTGGGGTTTTTTTGGTACTGGGGATTGAACTTGGGTCCTTGCGTTTTCGCAGCAAGCAGCGAAACCACTGAGCTAAATCCCCGGCCCCTTCAATTTGTGATCTCCCTGCCTCAGTCTCCCAGAGTACAGGGATTGCAGGTGTGGCCACACCTGGCTAAAGAATCTTTGGATCCCAGAGACCTGGCAATTTCCGCCACGCCCTCTTCTGCCTTTAGTCCTGGCAGACGGTCCTTGGGTCATCCCGGAAGTCTTGTTGGACTGGACATCCTGATGTCCAGGTGCATGGCAATGTTCAGGCAGCACAGGTCCCTCCCCATACAGCCCTGCAGGCCCAGGATAGAGCCTTGCTGGGCATGGTGGCACACATCGGTAATCCCAGCCCTCAAGAGGCTGAAGCAGAAGGACTGCTACAAATTTGAGGCTAGCCTGAGCTACATAGCAAGACCGTCTCAAAACACAACACCCCTTTATCTTCTTCTGGCCCACTGTGAGTCACCCTTCTCCTCTCAGCAGCCCGGGTCCATTGGTGCCTCTGTTCCTATCAGGCGCTGGTGACAGATGTGTGCTGTTCTCTGGCCGTCCTGCTCCAGAGGAAGGGGCCGAGGTGGCCTGGGGTGGCCCTGGAGAGCATCTGCAGCACTTGCCGATGGACCATGCTCTATCCTTGTCCCTGGCAGGTCTGGCTCTGGGGCTGTCTTGTATGCTCACCTAGGGGAGGAGGAAGTGAGCCTCGGGCTGGACTGCCTGCACACCTGCTGGCCATATCCATGGTGGCTTCCGATATCCCCTGCACTCCAGGTCCTGCTGGGCTTTGCCTGGGTCAGGCTGCAGGCTCCAGGAGGGCAGAGGACAGTGGGCTGGGGGTTCATGTGTGAGGCACAGTGTGAGCCAAGCCCAGAAGTGGGGTCAGGGATTGGGGATCAGAGGTCGCTGTCTCCTCAAAGGCCCCTTCTGCTGCTAAGAGCTCACCTGGTGCACGGGCTCTGCCTGCCAGGGCCAGGGCCAGCAGGTGGCACAAAGGAGCCATCAGGTAGCTGTGGCCTCCATTCGAGGGGACAAGGCCCCTGGGCTCCAGAAACTGTACACAGCTGGCTCTCTGCTGCAGGCAGGACCTTCCTGCCTTTGCCTCTGCCAGGGCAGGGCCCTCAGTTTGAGACCTGGCCTTTTCCTCATAGAGATCAATGAGGAGGCAAGGCTTACTATGAGTTATGGATGAGGAATAAGGCTCAGAGAAGGCACAAGGCCTTGTTTCACACTTTGGCCAAGAGGCTCACCCTGGTGCCCCTCATATGGGACCAGCTCCTTCCCAGCATTCCCTGGGGCAGAGGCAGGGAGCACTTCCTGGCCCCTTCTCTCCTCTCTCTGGGACTGTGTGTGTTTGCCTGCATGCTATACTGTACTGGGGATCGAACCCAAAGTCTTCATCCCCCAGCTCTTTTTATTTTTTGAGTCTGTGTCTCTTTAAATCGCTAAATTGCCCAGGCTGGGTTAGACCTTGAGATCCTCCTGCCTCAGCCCCCAGAGTGCTGGGAATATAAATATGCACAGCACATCAAGCTTCTAGGGTTGTTTTTCCGTGTGCTGTGTAAGGAGGAATCTAGGGCGCATGGGCCAAGCACTCACTGGTTACATTTGGAGCCTAAGGCCAGAATTTCAGCTGGATTACCCATGAGATTTGTGGTTCCCAGCCCCGTGGTCCTCAGACATGGGTTCCTGGGTGGGCTGATTATCTGCAGTTGAATTTTCCATTTTGTAAAATGGGGAAATACTAGTGCTGGTCTTGGGCAAGTGTTCCGAGGATGAAAGGCTGACATTGACAGGTACCACATGGACCCTGACACAGATAACAGGTAGAGAAAGGCAGGTGAGGCTGAGGCAGGAGGATCTCTTGAACCCAGAGCGCAGGTGTTCAGGGTCAGCCTGGGCAACATAGCATGGATTGGTCTTAAAACATAGTAAGTGTGGCTGGGCATGACGATGCATGCCTGTGATCTCAGCACTCAGGAGACTGAGGCAAGAAGACTGCTGAGAGTTCCAGGCCAGCCTGTGCCACATAGCCAGATGCTGCCTCAAAAAAACCCAAGAAGCAATAAATAGCAGAATGAATGACTGATAAGCACTTGCCCTGCGGGAAGCCCGGAGACTCCCTACACTAGAGGGGCCCAAGCACCATGGCCTGCCTTCAAGAGCCTGGGTTCTTGTGCCAGGCCCTTGGGAACCAACCTGCTGCTCTCAGGCTCTGTGCCTCCCGGACCTGATTAGGGTTATGGCTGGCACAGCGGTTCCTTCCCCCCCCCCACTTCCTGCCCCACCTTTCCCCCTACTATCTGCCCTGGGCGGGGCATGGTCATGCCCCTGGGGCTTGAAGCCTGGCGAGGCCTAGGTGCAGGGGCCACCCCGGAACCGTGCCCGGGTCCTCCCGGGGGCTCAGCATTTCTGCTTTGGCTTGCAAGTCGTAAGCCCCGACGTGTTCACGGCGCCAGGGCCCTGTGCGAGGGCGGAGCCAGCGGGGAGGGGCGTGGGTCGTCCATGGGCTGGGAGCGCCCGCGCCCGTGGGCAGCCCTGGCCAGGCACGGTGGAACCTGTGTCCTAGCCGTCCCCGCCGCGCAACCCACTGAAAACGAAGCCCAAGATGCCCGCGGCCATCCTGTTCGCCCCCGTTCCCGACCTCGAGTGGGGGGATCCAGCGGAAGCAGCCCAGGGCGCAGGGGCGGCTCTGGGCTCCCCAGGGCCCGGTGGGGAATGGCAGCGTCCGGGTACCGCGTCGGGAAGCTATGCCGTGCAGATCCCGCGTGGTCGTCCGCACGAGGGAGCGCGCCCCGCAGTCGGCCGGGCTCTTTGTCCGCCTGGGTCGGGCGCGCGCGTGTGCGGGCGCATGGGCGGTACTCGGGATCCGGCCCCGCCCCTGCCCCGCCCTTCCCCTCCTATCCCCGCCCTTCCCCACCCTGCCCCGCCCTTGCCCAGACCCGACTCCGCCCTCCACACCGGGCCACGCCCATTCCCCCCGCCCCCCGTTGCCCCGCCCCGCCGGTATTTTTCCACCCGGCAGGATGGGCGCTGCGGAGCCGCCAGCTCAGACAACAGCCGTGCGAGGCCGGGACGCAGCAGCCGCCCGCCTCCCGCTCCGCGCCGCCAGCCAGCTCCCGCGCCCCGCGCCCCAAGCTCCGGCCGGCGGGCAGCCCGGCCGGGAGGAGCTGCGCAAGCACGCCCAGGTACACCCAGGCGGGTCCTTTCGCAGGCGGGAGTCGCGGTGGCCGCGGGGCGGGCCTGGTCCAGGGCGGGGGCGGCGGATTCGGGCCGGGTCTCGGGGTGCCTGGGTCCCCAGGTCCCCGGGTCCTCAGCCTTTCGCCAGCGTCTGCCGACTGGCGCCGTGTGGCCGATTCCGAGCGCGTGGCGCTGTCCCCGCCGTATGCACGTGTGTCCCTGAGCGGCCGTGCCCGGACGCCGTCCGGTGCGGGGCGGGTGGCGGGCGGCCTCGCCTCGGGGACAGGTGGTCCGGGTGGGCGCGGAGGCTCGCGGACAGAGACTGGCCGTGCACTGGACAGGGCTCGAGTGGTCCCGGGGCGATCGTTCGCGTGTCTCCCAGGCAGCGCTGGGCCGGGGCAGCGCTGGGCCTGGGTACTATCGCCTGGTGCTGGGCACTGACAACGGTGTGCCGGACACTGTCGCCGGGTGCTGGGCAGCCTGGCCTGGCTATTTTAGTCCTGCCCGGGCTCCAGTGCCACCTCCGGCAAGCCCCTACCCAAGAGGTGGAGGACATGGTGGCCGAGATCAGGGGTCTGCGGGCCCCATGTGTACATGAGCACAGCGCCCCGAGTTGGCACCGCCAAGGAGCACAAAAATGTCAAGGAGGAGCTCTTTTTTAAATTAAAATAATTTTTTGTTGGCTGGAAGGGAGGGGATCTGGTCCAGCGTCTGTAGCCAGAAGGAGTTTATTTTTATGAGAGCGAGCTGGTGAGCGCTTAGCAACCGCCTGCCCGCCTGCCCGAGACCGGGGAGTCATCGCAGGGAGTCATTGCTGTGCGGGGTGACACGAGCTGGAGGGTGAGGCGGGCAGGAGCATGCAGGGGGCGTACTGGGGCTACCTCGAGAACCCTCGACCCCAGGGGACCGGCAGAATGGCTGGAAGTTGTCTTAGACCTGGGTGTACCCCTGTTGGCTATAAGTAGCTGTTTCTGGGCTCAGTTTCCCCATCCTTAGGATGGGCAGGGCACGCTGTCCGTGGGCTGCAGAGGGCTGTGACCTTGGTGATTCCCCAAGCATTGAGGACACAGACCCCGCCTGCCGTGTCCTGGAGAGGATTGAGCCAGGCTGCCTAAGCCGAAGTAAGCTGTAAAGCCGGTGGGGCTGTGGGCTCCGATTAGAGGGTGTCATGAGGCCTGGGTCACTGTGGAATGTGGCAAGGGTCAGGTGCAGCGCCAAGCCTTTGTCCTTTGGGAATGCCCTGCATCACACCCCATGGTGGTGGTCAGCCTCCCAGTCCCCTTGGTCACAGCTGCTTGGCAGTGTTGCTTGGCCCAAGGTGGTGCTGCCCATTTTACAGATGGGCTAATAGAAGACTTTGTGGGGGGGGGGCAAGGGCAGCCCACTTGGCCAGCAGTGACTTTGGACTTCGGAGGTTTGGTCACTGATTTCTGGGGGGATGGGGGATTGGATGAGAGCCTGGAGAGGACTGTTCAACCCCCGCATGTCCAGACCCTGTCTGTTCCAGGAACGGGAGCGTCTCATGGTCTTTCCAGAGATCCCAGTGACATGGCACCTGTGGTCACTGAGTGCATTCCTGTGCAGGAGGGCGGAAGTCAGCTGCAGGGACTCCAGGAATGGGAATGCGGCTTATTGCTGCCCTGGGGCCTGGGTGGGAACTGGGGTGCCCCTTACAGTAGCAGCTTAGGGCACCCACTCTACCAAAGGGCCCGACACAGACAGATGCTTGGAGCTGACACATGTGCGTCTGGTGTTCACCAGGTTGTCTGGGCTGGGGCTCAGATCTGTGGAGGGCTGGGTCTGTAAGCACCCACGGTGGCCTACGGGAGAGAAGGAGTTTCCTTCTGCAGCCCTGAACTTAGCTGGTGATTGAACCTCAGCTGAGGGAGCTCTGTGTGGCATCAGGTTTGGAGTAGAAGGTTGTCTTTCCGGGAGCTTGTGGCTGGGCCGAGGGCTCTGGGAGGTATTGCCGACAGGGAGACTTGGTGACCTGGTGTGTTGCTGGTGGGGAACATGGCTTCCGAGGGCAGGCCATGTCAGAGCTGCTGTCTTCCATGGTCGAGACCAGGATGGCCAGTGTTCCTGGAGGGGGCACACAGGTGCCAAGGCACTGAGGCACAGAGTGGCCGAGCGTGTTTGTGGAACATGTCCCCTGGGTCCCGGCGCAAGAGAGGAACAGGAGCCAGACAGGATTTGGCAGGAGTCAGACGATGGGGCTGTGGGTGCTGGGTAAGTGTCTTGAGCTTTATCCGGAGGGCAGCAGAGATAGAAATAGGATCCTACAGGTTTGGGGACAGCAGGGCAGAAGCTGTAGAAGCCTGGAGCCTGGAGGTGCCCGGGAGAGCCCCATGCTGAGTGAGAAACTGGGCTGGGCTCCAGGAGACCCGGGGTCGCTGGTGGGCAGGGCACAGAGCGAGTTCTGTGCCAGCGAGTTCTGCCCTGAGCACTTTCTGTAAACACGGGGCGCGGCCCGGACATGCTGTTTAGCAGGTACACAGGCCATTAAGTCCCAGCTGTGGCCTCACTGGAGTGCAGCCTGGGCCTTCAGGGTGAGTTACCGACTGGGCCTGGGATCCCCTCCCACCCCACCTAGTCTGAGGCTGCATCTGGAGGCCGCCAGAGTGGAGGAGACAGAGCGAGGAATGGCTTTTCTGTTCCCAAAACAAGCCCCACGAGGGGTAGAGGTGTTGGGGTGGGGAGCAGTGTGGCCAGGCCTTAGACACCTAGGACAGGGCACAGTGCCCACCTGGCCCTGGCCTCTGTGTGCCCAGCACTAGGGAGGCTGAGGCGGGAGGATCACTGGTGCCCAAGTTGGGGGCCGTTCTGGGAACCTTAGCCCCACCTGGTCTCAAAGAAAATGAATAATCTGGAAGACTTTTTAAATTAATGGAGGTGGGACCAGAGCCTGGGAATCTGTATCTTAAAAAGTTTTGTGTTCTGAGGTTTTTCCCCACTTTGAGTCAGGGTCTCTGTGCTGCCCAGGCTGGCCCTGAACTCCTGGACTCCAGCAGTCCTCCTGCCTCGGCCTGAGCTCCCAGAGCTCTGGGGCTGCTGGGTTTTCCCCCCGGTACCTCCCCTGACTTTGAAAAAGTCCTGGAGGTGCTTGGGGTGTGATGCAGTGGTCAGGCACCCCAGGCGCACATGGGTGAACAAGTAAAATAAAAACACCATGGGGGTGGGGCTCAACTAGTGTGTGAGGATCAGGACTCAGCCTCCCCTCACCCCGAAGCCGTGTCCTCTGTCCCCACTGCCATAGGACTGGGGATGGAACCCTAGTCTTTGCTGCACCCTAGCCCACCCACCTCTTCAGATCACCACTTTCTGATTTGTCACCAGAAATCAGTCTAGAACCTCCTTCGAGGGACTCCTGTGGGACACATCCCTGTCCCTGGGGTCGCGCCCTATCCCCACTGGCTCCCTGGGGTCTCGTCACTCCCCCACCCCTCATGAACGATAGCCCAGAGCATTAAGAGGAAAATGCTGGAAAGGAGGACTACTGAGTGTGACTTTATTACCGCATCGTTGTAACTGTTTTATTACCAGCTGTGTGGTTAACCTCGTAGGGGCCTGATCTACCGATCTGCCCTGCCCTGCCCTGCCCTGCCCTGCCCTGCCGTCTGCCGGCTGCCAGCATCCCAGGCTGGTGTGACTCTGTCCCCGCTGTTCAGCCCCAGGGTCTCAGGATCGTCCTGTGGGTGAGGGGCAGTACAGTCGCTGCAGGGCAGGTCAAGCGGCTGCCTGCGTCTGTGCAGGAGTCTGTTTTTGGACACGTTTTCATCTACCCGGGAGTGGCACTGCATACATGTTGACTCAGGAGAAACTGCCAAAAGACTCACGTTTATTTATTGATTTATTCTGGTTTTTTGAGACAGGCTCTGGCTATGTAGTCCAGGTTGGCTTTGAACTCAGTATGTAGCCCAGGCTGGCCTCAAAGTCGTGGTGATCCTCCTGCCTCAGCCTATCGAGTGCTGGGATTACAGACATCCACCACCACACCTGGCTCAAGATTCACTTGTAATCACAAAAATAATACACCTCAAATGATACAAAACTGCAGACTTACAAGCCGTCCTCTCAGATCATTAAAAGCATGTGTGTCCTCAGCACCACCTGAAAGGCCTGAGTTGTGTGTCGCCTGCACACCTTGCCTTCCTGCCCTGCTCCCTTTCCTGTTCTGACGTTCTCGGACCCGGCTCCTTCAGGACCTGCTCAGCAGGCTGGGTGTCGTATGGTCGGAGCAGAATGGCATCGAACTGTTCTTGGTTCTGCGCGTGGTCTCTCGGCAGCAGACCATTGTGTGCCTGGTGCCATCAGACTGGAGCAACAGCCCTTTTCTCTGTGGGCCCTGCCTGTGGGGCCACCATGGGTCCTCCCCACCCCCTGTGGCCATGGACTTGCCTGGGGGAGGACAGAGGAGCAGCCCGGGCCTGGGCAGGCCAGGAAAGGGACCTTTCTCTTGTTCTTTTTCTCTGAGATGGAGCCTCACTGTGTTGCACAGGCTGAGCTCCTGCTCATGGGCTCCGGAGATCCTCCTGCCTCAGCCTCCTCATAGCTGGGACTCCCTAGGTATGCCTCTATGTCCACCTGGGAGCCCCTGCTTACTGAGCATCTGTCGAGGGGTAAAGGTGTCCTTGAAGCCCAGAGATGAGCTCACCAGGAAGGTAGCGTAGGCTCCAAGGGGCCAGAGATCAGGACTCAGGGTGGGTTCAGCTGCTTGAGACCTGAGCCCTTCTTGTTCTCCTCACTGCACTGCCTGTGTATTGAGCACCTAGTGTATGCTGGGCACGGGCAGGAAGGCAGTGATAAATAACACTGCCCTGAGCCCCAGTAGTTGTGAGGGGGTGGACACTCGGGTGGCTTTTTCCCGGGCAGGCGGAGCCTGGGGCCAGGTGGAGCGAGGAGGGGACTTGGCTGTGGTCACCCCGTTGAGCTTCCCTACCCACCACTTGTGGGTGTGGAGCATGGAATTGGAGTGAGCCTGGCCTGTTAAGGGAGGGTGGAGCTGTCCTGAGAACCTCTGCCCCCAGGCACTCCCTCCCAGCCAGCCAGGCTGTGGGTGACTCTTCGGCAGCCAGTGGAGGCCCCGCCTGTGCCGCAGACTTCCTGGAGCTGGTGGGACCCAGAACCCGACAAGTGTCAGGCAAGCTCTCCCCTCAGCCCTGTCCTTGAACTTTTCTGTTGCTGCTGTTTGTTTTCTACAAGGTTTCAGTATGTCGTCCAGGCTGGCCTCAGATTCATGGCACTCCTCCTGCCTCAGCCTCCTGAGTTCTGGGATGGCAGGCGTGTGCCACCCTACCCGCTCTGGCCTTGGTCGTGATCCCAAATTCTGGCATCCTCACAGCTGGTGGGAAGGGGTTTGAGGCTGAGTGGCCTCCGGGAAGGTCCCTGAGCAGGTCCAAGACTGGCTCCTGAGGCCTGACAGGGAGAGTGATGATCCCAGAAGGAGGGTGACAGGGTGGAGGGAGGTCCTTAGGGTCCCACCTCCCAACTGAGGCTGCTCTGGTCATGGTTTCAGGGACTGTCTTTCCCTCACCAGATGGCACTGGTTGTGAACTCTGGAGGACAGCACCCAGCCCAAGGCAGCTGCTTCCTCACCGGCCTCTGTGCCCCTCTCCCACTCAGGTACCTTCCATGGCTCCCCAGTGCTGAGAGGTCAAGTCTACCACTCCTGGTGTGAGGCTTCCTGGCCTGACATTTGCCATAGAGCCCTCTCCATGCCTGAAGTCTGGCCAGTCTGAGAGCCTCGGGCTCCAGCAGCTCTCAGGCCCTTGTTTCCTCCCATCACCCCTTCTTCCTGCTCTGAATTAACGGAGCTTTGTGTGGGAAGGGTTCTGCTCTCTGAGCCCTGTAATGGCCCTGACACCTGGGAAGCCTGTGGGAAGACCGGAGTCCCAGAGACCCGGGCCTTCCCTGCCCAGAGCCCGAGGCCCTTTCTTCTTTCTCTCCTCCTCTTCCTTCTTCTTCCTCATCTCCCTCTTCCCCCTGCCCTCCTCTTCTTGCTCCTCTTCTCTCCCTCCCCTTCGCCTTTCGTCTTCCTCCTCTTCCCCCTTCTCCTTCCTCCCCTCCCCCAACCTTTTCCTCCCCCTTCTACTTCCGCCCTCCCTTCCTCTTTCCCCTTCCCCTCCCCCTCTTCTCCTTTCTCCTCTGCTCCTCTTCCTCCCCTCCCCCTCTTCTTCCTCTCTTCCTTCCCCCTCTCCTCTTCCTCTTCTCCTTTTTCCTTTTTTTCCTCCTCTTCTTCCTCTCCTTGTCTTTTGGAGTACTAGGCATTGAACCGTCAGCCTTTGCACTGAGCTACATCCCTAGCCCTTTTTAAGCTTTTAATTTTTAATTTTTTTTGAGGCACAGTCTCAGTATGTAGTTCAGGCTGGCATTGTACTCACTGTGTAGCCCAGGTTGGCCTCGAACTCATAGCAATCCTCCTGCCTCAGCCTCCCAAGTGCTAGGATCATAGGCGTGCACCACCACACCAGCTCAAGTTTTAATTTTGATGCGGTCTTATTAAGTTGCCAAGGCTGAGCTCCATATTGTGGTCCTCTTGCCTTAGCGTCCCTGAGTGCAGGGGTTGCTACCCTGCCTGGGGCTGTGGGAGGGAAGGTACTTCCACTGGCAGTGGGTGTCCAGCTCTCAGGGGCATGCAGCCCGTGACAGTGCCTGCCTCCTGCCCACAGGATGGCTGTGGCGGGAATGTGTGGGTGGTCTGGGCCCGGGCTGGCGCTTGGCAGTAGAGTGCTGTGTGGAATGTCCCGGGCCCTGGGTTCAACTCCCAGCACTGCAGAGAGAAGACACAGTCCCGTGGGGGTGGGGGGCATGCAGTCTGGGCTGTCCCCGGCCTCTGCTTGCCCTGTGAGTCCTGTGGCCTCAGGGACTCCTACTGTCGGTCCCGGTGCAAGAGGGACGCCCATAGGGGAAGGCCCTGCCCTCCCCGTGGCCCCTTCCGGGTGCACTGTGCCTGTCGGCCTTCACTGGATTAGGATCTGGAGCCCCGAAGATGCCGGTCAGAGATGCAGGGTTCAGGGCATTGCACTTCCTGCACTTCCTCTGGGACAAGTGGAGTCTTTTGTCTACTGCACCTAGAAGAGTGTAGATTAGAGCAGACTTTAAGCCAGGTGTGGTAGGAGGCTGAGGCAGGAGGACCTGAGAGTTCCAGGCCAGTCTGGGCTACATATCAAGACCCTGTCTCAAAAAAACTCCGCAACAACAATAACAGACCAAAGGAAAAAAAAAAAAAGAGGGAGAAAAAAAAGCCCCAAGCTGCCAGCTCCTTCCTCCCGCAGGTCCCAGGGAGGCTCTGCTCCCATTCTTACCTGAGGGGCTCGTTGAAAGGGTCCCTGCCCAGAGCTCTCCTGGGACTGCTCGGCCCCAGGGGTTAGGGTTAGTTTTGACTGGTTTTGTGCAGGTGTTGGGGACAAGTCTAGGCCTCATTTGAGTACCTGCAGGGTTTGCAGCTGCGTGAGGACCTGGTGACTGCCCTGCCCCAGCCACGAACACTCTCTCCTGTCATGGAAGAGTGCTTGGCCCACACCTCCGCATCCTCAGCGACTGCTCCTCCTGGGCAATGGGTCCCAGCCTTATGCCTTTGAACACGAAGGATCTGAGTCCAAAGAGAGGGACAGAGGCAGCCAGGCCAGAATCTGTGGCCCAGGGACTGTCCCCTGAGTCTCACTGCTGGGTGGTGACTGACAGGTCTCCTCCACAGATCCACCAGGTTCCACCTTGTTTTGAGCCACATGGAGCCCAAGGGGTGGGAATTTGGGGATTTTTCTCCCTATCTTGTTTCATTACCCGACTTCAGGCCTGGGAATTGGATCTGGGCAGCCTCAGTGGCTTGGTCATGTCTTGGACCCGGCAGAGGGTGATGAACAGGAGCTGTGGTGACAACTGGTGCCGACCCAGGACTGGAATCAGACTCGAAGTCTTTCTTTTAGTGCTGGAATGGAGCCCAGGGCCTCCAACACGCTAGCCAGGCACTCTGCCTTTTATTTTGAGACAGGGCCTTGCTGTGTAGCCCAGTCTGGCCTCGATTTCAAGGTAATCCTCCTGACTCAGCCTCCTGGGTGCTGGGATTGCAGGGGTGCGCCACTGCATCTGGCCATTATCCTCCTTTTTTGTGCATGGAAGACCCGAGCCTGGCCAAATTCAGATAACTCGCCCCAGTCCTGGGCTGGGAGCTGGCGGGGCTGTGCCCTGGGCCGGTGCCATCTTGGAAAGGCTGCCTAGGGGAAGCCTCTTGCTGCTCTGAGTCCTTGGTCCAAAAGCTGCAGGAGACTTCACGGCGGCCAAGTAGGATGTAGGATGCACGTCGGGGAGGCCTTGGCGGGCTGCCCGGTCTCGGCCCCTGAGCTCCAGCTCCCTACGGGTCAGGTTGCCCGCCACAACCTGGGGCCTGGCTGGGACAATGACCCCTCCTTGTGCCCCATGGTGTTTGGGGGCTTTGGTGACAGTGAGGGGCCGTGCCTCCTGCCAGCTAGGACCCTGTGTTTGCATGCCCACCTGTCCTTGGCTGGAATGGGCCGCAGTGGAGGTGTCCGTGGACTCGTCAGCCGGAAGTGGACGCAGCTACAACCCGGGCTGTCACGCAGTCCCTTCTCAGGGTCCCCTGGGTTTCCTGATGGACTACACTGCAAGAAGGGTGGCCGGATGGGACACATGAGGGCCACAGACATGGGACTGCCCGAGCACCGTGCTGCAGGCAACATCTGTGGCCTAGCACCCCCTGCCCTCATCTTGGTGAGTCTCAGAGACGTCAGAGGAGCTTGAGGCAATGCAGCCTGTCCAAGGCAGGGCCATATCTGCACCCTTGGGGTTACAGTAGGCAGAAATTCGCTGAGACGAAATCTAAGCAAACAGGAAGCGCTGTGTTCAGTGAGGAGGCTGAGCTATCCACCTTCACTGGGCTCCTTATCCCTCTGTGCCCGCCACATTCTCTATCCTCTGCTGTTCTCCATTGCAGGTGCGTGAGGCCCTCCCAGACCCCTGGGCATCTTGGCCATCGTTCCCTTTGGAGTGGGGGCATCTTGGGGTGGTCCTGACTGGGGGAGGAGCGTCAGTGTCCCCTGAGGGGCATGGTGCCCAAAGGCCAGGCCCACAGCCAAACGCCATTCTCTGTCCCATGAGCACTGACCTCCTCAGTACCCTTTGGAACTGAGATCCTTGTGGCCCGCCCCACCCATTGTCACAGGCTGCGTGTCCACCCGGCAGATGGCCTCAATGGCACCCTTGTCCTGGTCCCGGGCTTGGGACCTGGCTCCCAGTGGGTGCTCATGGACTGTTGATGTCACTCCCATTTCCGAGGCCCAGGCGAGGGGGTACCTGGTCCCATGTCGTACCAGCCCTAGGCTGGCTGTTCACCGAGATGGAAACAGGAGTGCAAGGCAAGGTCCCCATGTCCCCATTTGCAAGTTCTGGGAGAGCCTCCTGCCTCAGCCAACAAGTGTGCAAGGTCTGAGGGGCCTCATTCCTCCCCATGCAGCGGGCGCCAGAAGCCTGTGTGGGAGGAAGGCCGCCTTCATGGATCCCATCCCCATGCCACGGAAAATAAATAAGAACACAGAGCATAAACCCTGAAGCAGAACCGCACCGTGTTCCCAGAGCCTTCGGTTCGTGTGCCCCAGTGTGAGTGGGGGTGTATGATTGCAGGTGCGTGTGCCCGAGTGTGAGCCAGGGCCTGAACGTGGGTGCATAACCCGCCCTTCCCCAGCCACAGCCACCCTGATGGCATCCCCTCCTCTGTGCAGGTCCAGATCTGGAACTACAGACCCCGCTGAGGAGCCTCCTGCCTGTGAGTAGTCACAACATCTCCCTGGGTCTGGGGACATTGTCCTAGGCACCCAGGGGCAGCTCTCTGGGAGGATGGGACCTGCCCAGGGTGCTGGGGATGGCTGGGCCTGTTTATTTACTTATTTATTTAGTTTGATTGGCCTTGAACTCATGGAGATCTTCCTGCCTCAGCCTCCTGGGATTACAAATGTTGCACCACCACACCCAACTCCAAAATTTTATTTTTCTACATTTCTTTCCTTTTTTTTTGGTACCGGGATCGAACTCGGCACCTTTCGCTTGCAAGGCAGATGCCAGAACCACTGAGCTAAATCCCCAGCCCCAAAACTTTATTTTTAAAATCTTGAATGCCTTGAGAGAGCTTGCACAGTAGGATGGTGAACGTCCACAACCTGGGCACACTTCCTGGTCTTAGCCCGGGCCACTCGTCCCTCTGTCTGCGCTGTGGGAACCCTCGGGTGCTGTGCTTTCCACTGAATCAGAGCCCTGTGCTTTCTGCTGAATCACTGCAGCGAGCAGGCACGGGGCACCTCTTTACCCAGTCCTACTGGATTTCGCAAGAGCAGGGCCATTGTTTTATGGGCCCCAGCCGGGCAGGCATCAGCGGGCGGGCGGGCATCAGCGTCTCCACTATCTAATCTCTAGCCTTCAGGACCCTGCTGATTACCTGGTATTTACAGTGTTGCCTGGCTTGCTTTTAGTTCAGGGTCACATTCATCTTTAATGGCATCTGCAGCTTAAGTAGCTGATTTCAACCCTGGCTGGTCAGCCTTTCATCCTGGCCTGAGGCAGGAAACACACCACAGACCAACAGTGGCCTGTGTACCCTCTGAGCTCCAGGCCTGGGCCAGGCTATCCTCGGTTCTTAGAAAACAATAGCCGTGGCTGGGCGTGGTGGCACATGTCTGTCATCCCAGCACTCAGGAGGCTGAGTCAGGAAGATCACTGTGAGTCTGAGGCCACCCTGGAATACATAGTGAGATCCTGTCTCAAGAAAACCCAGTGGCCAATGATTTGTTCTGTGTGCACCCGTGGACTCTGCCCTGGAACATGAACACCTGCCATCCTCAACAGAAGCTTCTTCTTTCTCTTTTTTTGCTGTGCAGGGGGTGAAACCCCGGCTGTTGGTGGTGCTGGGGTAGGGGTGGGGTAAGATTGGTAGGCCCAGGGGTGGGTCTGGCTGATTTGGAGCCACTTGTGGAGTTGCCCTGGAACCCCTCGGCCGCTGCCACCCATGGGCGGACACCTACCCCCTGCCTGGCCTGGGGCTCTGTCAGCAGTGGCTGACCATGGAAATGTGTCCTCCACCTGGCCTCAGGCCTGCACATCCCTGGCCCAGAGCAGGGGAAGGCCTGACGTCACTGGAGGCATAGGGTACGGTTGCTCTGGAGCCCGCTCAGTGGGGTGAGGCTGCCGATGGAGGGGCGGCTTTTATGCCTCTCTGGCCAAGTGCTGCTGAAGCTTCCGAAGACCCTGGGAGGTGGGTGCTGATGCCGCCTGCAGGGCAAGGAGGGAAACTGAGGCCCAGAGAGGTGATTGGCTCTTCCAACGCTGAATAGCCCTTGGGAGTAGAACCTGGGGCCCTGATCTGGAGCACACAGTGTGGACCCCAGGCCTCCTGCTGATTAATGAGTGGCAGGGGCCCTGGGACAGGAGGCACCTTCCACTCTGGCTAGAATGTGCACCTGTCCCCCCATGGCGCCTTCTGCGGGGCCTAAGCTTCCCACACCTCCTCTGCACCCCTCAGAGCCTGGCCTGAAACCTTCCGAGATCCTCCTGCCTCAGCCTCCTGGGTGCTGGCATGACAGGCATATGCCACCATGCCCAGCTTGGGCTTGCTTTGGTGGAATGGGCCCTTTACCCTGGACACAGCCAATGTTGGGATGATTGCACACTGTCACACAAAGCCAGGTCACTTCTGGGATGCAGGCTTCCTCCTGGGGGTGACCCTCCCAGCAGATGCTGGCTGACTTGTTGGGAGCTGTGAGCTGGGGGCCCTTGGTTCCGGTTCTAGCCCCAGGGTTGTGTCGCAGCCTCATGCCCAGCCCCTGCTACTGGGTGACCTTGAGGTTGGTCCCTGAGTCTGTCCAGCCTCACCTTCCCTGCCTGTGAAATGGGCCCATGGAGGACCTCAGGGGACATGGGATAGTGGACAGGGATGGGGGCCTGATATTATCCCTGTCTGAGATCGGGGTGGCCATGTGCAAGCGGGCAAGGGCAGCTGAGGGCCAGGTCTGCCCTCCCGGGTGCCTGATGCCTTCAGGAGAGGGTCCTCACAGCTTTCACTGAGTAGCCCAGGCTGGCCTTGCACTTGGGATGCTCCTGCCTCAGCCTTCCTTTGGAGCAGCTGAGGTTGCCAGATCCTCTTGCCCAGCCTCAGTGTGTGTGTGTGTGTGTGTGTGTGTGTGTATTTGTGTGTGACAAGCCTGTGACTCCTGTGTCCTTGAAAATGCCACCTCCAGCCTGCTCAGCCAGACGGCCGTGCAGTGATAAAGAAGGCTTGTTGTGTGTTATAAAAGCAACACATTGTTAACACACAAAACTTAGAAAGGGGCCAAGGTGCAGCTCAGTGGTGACCACATGCTCAGTGTGTATGAGGGCCTAGGGTCTGGCCCAGCAATGCAGAAGAAAAGAACTTAGAAATCACTGGCAAGTCTAAAGAAAACAGAATTCATCTGCAGTCCCACCACCATAGGTAACCGTAGTATGATCTGTGTTACATCATTTGAAGTGTTCCTTTTAAAAATTTAATATCTTGATGCAGAGTCTTGCCATGTGGCCCAAGCTGGCCTTAACTCCTGGGCTCAAGCAGTCCTCCTGCCTCAGCCTCAGGGACCACAGTCACCTGGCCAGAATTTTCATTTTGAAAGGGATCATAATGATCCCTTGGATGTCTGTGTGATCCTGATTTCTCCCCCATGACATATTTCTGGGTTAAAAGAAAAGTTTGTCAGCTCTCAACTTAGAAGATTAAACAAAAGGCCAGCGACTTTATAGGTTTGTGGCCGTGTGGTGTCCCCTCCGCTGGCCACACCTCACAGTGGCAGCTGGGAGACTGCAGACAACTGTGCAGGTGAATGAGTATTGTGTGTTCGGGTAAAACTGTGTTTACCGACACAGCTGTGGGTTGGGGGCACAGCCTGCAGCCCTGGGTCCTCACGTGTTGGGCAAACCATTTACCTAATTAGTCCCTGGCGGCAGGAATCCGCTGGCCGCAGCTTCTCTCTGGTCTAATCCCTTTCTATTTTTAATTGTGGTGAAACACACAGTGCACGACTGACCACCCTGACCTTTTTGCTATGTTTTAATGCTTTGCAGTGCTAGAGATGGAACCTAGGCCTGTGCACGCCAGGTGACACTCCCTGCTCAGCTGCATCCGAGGCCTCTTCAAGGGCATAGCTTAGCAGTACGAGTGTAGCCCGCGTCCTGCATGGGGCAGAGCGGGGTGATGCCATGTGCGTCTGTGAGCAGGTCTTTCCACATCGCCGTGCCAGGAACCGGAGTCCTAGCCTAGCAGAGATGTACCTGTGCTTCATCATGGGGGCTCGAACCTCGGCCGTGGGCATGGTGGGCAGGGGCTGCCCATCCCTAGGGTGCTGGATTCACGAACCACGTCACGGACTCCCAGTCACCCCAGCTTCCCTTCCTGCTTGATGTTGCCTGTGGGCCTGGGGGGGGTGGCACCACCACCCGGGGGCCCAGCAGCAGGCCTTTGGAGTCAGATGTGATTGGCTCCCACTCCAAGGGGGCAGCTCCCAGTCTGGGAAGACAGGAAAAGCCAGGAAGTAGAAGGGGCTGTGACCTGGGCACCGAGGTGCAGGTGTTGCTGGGCCTTGCCATGCAGGCCAGAGTGGTTGCCGGGTCTCTCTGGGGCCTCGGTTCTGCATCACCACGGCGTGGTACAGAGTCACTAGGCTGCCCCCCACCCCCCGGCAGTGAGGGTTAGGGAGGAAAACAGCCCTGATGTGTGACAGCACACAGCCCCACTGAGCAAGTGTGGTCTGTTGGTCACTCTTGGGGTGAGCCACTGTCACATCTGGGCATCTCCCTCTCGGGAAGTCAGCACAGGTTCAGACCTGACACTTGCAGCCCTTGGGATCCTCAGGTGTCTTGTCTTCGGTGCTCCATCAACGCCCAGGGCCATCCCCTGGGTGCGGGTGTCTTCGAGGAGAGGGTTTCTCAGAAGCCAAGAGCTGTTCCTAGAGGGCATCACCCGCTCTTGTCCCCAGGGAGGATGAGTCGACACCACATGGCCACGACAGGGCTTCCTGGTTCCCCTTTGAGTCGACCTCTGTCTTTGTACCCCATCGTCAGCCCTACCCCGTGGTCAGCTTGGTGGCACCCACAGGCCACCTAGGCCTTGACACGAGCACCCAGAAGTGGTTCTGGATGGCGCCCCTGGCCTGTGTTCCTGGGCCTGCACCCCTCCTGACTAGGGGGAGGGACTCTGATGCGTGTCTTCAAGGCTGAGTTGCCCAGGGTGTTTGCCCCTGGCCACCTGCAGCCATGGTGGGTCCAGATAACAGGAAGTTTTCTGTGCAGTGCCCATCCAGGGACAGGAAGGCGGCACGTGTGTCCATGTGACATCCTCTGTCAGGGACACAAGTTGGGGGAGGTGACACATCTGTGCCTGCATGATGATGTCCACAGGGAAGTGGAGGAGGGAGTGGGCTGACCTCAGAGACCTGCGCGGCAGGAAGTGACAGCCTGTGGCCCTGTGAGCACGTGGTCCTCTTGCTGTCCTCTCATTTCCCAAGTGTCCTACTGCGCTGGGTCCTCGGCCCACACTGGGCAGGGCTCTCACAGGCTGTGGCTCAGCAGGACTCGAAGACGCAGAGCTGTGGTGTCTGCTGCGCATGGCAGCCACATGTGTGTCACCCCCAGATCCTGTGTCCCTCTGGGTAATGGAGGGCTCAGTGGACCTCGGGTCTGGTTCTGATAGGCCCACAGGGTGGGAGGGAGGTGAGGGAGACAGGATACGGGCACTGGGGAAACAGGGCT